CCTCGGATTCGAGTTCCTCGGCCCCGATTACCCTTCAGTCAACCCTTACTCGACAACAAAAAAAATTTCATTGCTTAATTAGCTAATTAGCTAATGAGGTAATTAGAATTTCAGAAATCTAACAGCGGATTCGGATTCCTCGACCCCGATTACCCTCCGGTAAAACTTTGCCCTCCACTAGGGTCACTGAATAGTCACTATCGAACAGTGATGTGAAAGAACGAACCAACCAACCAACATCAACTCGTTTTTTTTTGTAATACCTGCTCGACGCATAACCCTCCTTTNAAAAAGTACGATTTTTTGTAAGGAAGATTGTTTGTAGGCGCTATTGTTTGAAGCAGCAATATGTAGAACAAAACGAAATAGCTGATTAGCGTCCGTCTGCTGGATACTCATACTCATCAGCATATTGATAACATTACAATTATATAAACAGCTATATTACACAAGCATTATCTGTTGCTAACCACTCGAAATAATACTTTCTCTAACAAATGTTGTTTTGGACAGTCACAATGGCACAACATTGGTGATTCTTTAACAGGGAATGAAAGAAAATAGTTTGATTGAATTTGAAGGGGATTTCAAGCTAGATAAAAGAATGAAAGTTGGACATGTAACGGCTAGTTGCGAGTGGCTGACTGGGGACAGACCGACGAGCGACCAGGCGCTTGTTTGGGTGGCTTAGAAGAGATAAAATAAGTGTAAGTAAATTGATTTTTTATTGTAAATAGTGGGAAGAGAGTCGATTAGTAAATCTTTATAAACAGTGTTCCTTTTACTGACGTCTTTGGACAAATGAATTGAAAGCAGTTTGATATGAATAAAGTAGAAAAGGATTAAAAGAAAAGAATGTGCATAAAAGTGGCTTTAATTCGAAGCGGATTAGAGTGACATATACGTTAGAGTTTTTATCTGAGTTTTGTAATTCTTTCAGAACAGGGCCAGCGAATCCAACAGATGAGCGCTACTTGTTAGATATTTCAGTTTTGATTGATGATTAGTTTTTCATTGTATTTCTTAAAACGTATGTGAAATATTGATGAATGTCATAGTAGCTTCTATCTTAAGTAGATATCCATAAATTAACGCCTATAAAACTCATTTTTCTTAATTAAAAACTAAATCCTCGCTTTATTCTTCAATATTGACATATACCTTCCAACAAAAATCTTAATTAAATCCTCGTTTTTTTTCAGATGATCATATATATACATATGAGATAGAATTAGTGAATGACATTTACTTTTTTTTCTTCATACGTAAAATTTCAAATTGAAATTCTTTTCTCTTACGTTGGTTGAAAATGTCATCATTAATAAACGTATTAGATAAAATATCTGAACAAATCAATATTATCCTTGGAATTGCATTTTTCGTATTGGGTATGATTGGTAATTTTTGTAATATTTTAGTCTTTTCACCAATTCTAAAGACAAAATTATTTCCATCAAGTCCATCACGTCTTTATATTTTAATAGGTTCAATAGCAGATTTCATTTATGTTTTATATTTATTATCAACTCGTATATTAATTTCGGCATTTTTTATTCCAGTAACAAATACAAGTCCTTTCATGTGTAAAACACGTTTCTATATAGGACAAGTTTGTACATATGCATCATTATATACAACATGTTTCGCAACAATTGATCAATATTGTCTTACAAGTCGATCAGTCAAAATTCGTCAATTAAGTCGATTATCATTAGCAAGAAAAATTTTATATCCTTTAATTATATTTTGGATTTTAATTAATATTCCTGAATTATTTCTTTATGATGTATATCCAACCGCAAATGGAAAATCAACTGTATGTACAGTTTATTCACCTATTTGGGATTTTTATTTTACATATATACAAAGTTTAATTTTACACTGTATAATTCCATTAGTACTTCTTATTGTATTTGGTTTATTAATTAAACATAATCTATCAACTGTTCGACAACTTCATCCATCAATAATTCGTCAAATGACAAGAATGATTTTATTTCAAGCATTAGCTATGGCAATATCATTATTCGTGATTACAACTAACACTATTTATCAACAAGTCACACAAAATATTTCACGAGATTCTCTACGTAGTTCACAAGAAAATTTATTCTATACAATTGCAAGATTATTTAGTTTTGTCAATTATATGGTATCCTTTTATATTTATTTATATTCATCAAAATCTTTGAGAAAAAATTTTAAAAATGTACTTTTAAATCGACCAATTGATTCAACTACACATACAACAGGACATCAACCAATTGTTCAAACACGTATGGATCAAGTACGACCAACAGCACTTGATTATAATCAACAATAAAAATAATCACTTTTTTTCTCTATATATGATCACTTTTATTTTTCATTATATTATATCAATAAACGAGGAAGAAATTTAATATAAATAAAATACATGACGTATTGAATAACTTATATATAAGTGTGTCAGGTCAAGATAAACTTCATTCATTTGCACTTTTCTTTTAACGACTTAAACTAACATCAACTTTATGTAGAATATAATCGTACGAATAATCTTTTTCTTTGTTTAAATGATCATACTTCTTCGATTTTCAAAACAAAATCAATTTCCATTACGTGAACCTCGATTTCCTTCACATGAATTTTCACACTCATAGACCCACTCATATAAAATACGAGTTTGTTCATCATCAGTACGAATGATGTAAGATGTTTTGATCTATGTTTATACGTCGAAAAAAATTTGAAATGTCTTCTTTCGTTGCATTAGAGTAGATTGACGTTGAGATCAGATATTCTTTTGCAAACTTGTTTGAATAAATACGATTTTGTGTCTTATGTTTCTATGATCACAGATTCGTGTGTTCATCAACTTTTTCTTAAGATTTGCTTTTTCATAATGATATTTCAAGCACATTTTTTCGATCATAATGCTATAGAAGAACATCGAGTTTTTCATATATTGCTAATGTATCTTAATTTGTTGACTATATTGTACATTATTTTTGTTTTTAAAATGCTGTTATTTCATTTTTCATTTACTTTATAAAAAATATGTTATACAAAAGTGTTTTCACTTGAGATCGAGTAATTTTAATAAATTCTCAATTGATTGTATACGATTGTTTTCTTTGGAACTTAGTTATGAAAGAATTCTTTCTAAAAGAGAAATATAGTTGATTTAAAGTTATATTCAACATGAGATTATAAACACATTTTATTAATACGGTGCGACCTTAAGGAGCATCGTATTATTGAGTTTCTTCGCGTCTTTTTATTATTATGATCTTTTCTCTTTCTCGACATAGCATCCAAAGTCCATTTTAAGTGGCTCGATGATCTAGAGAAAGGAGCGTCATTAGCCTTCCGAACAAAGGCTGTTAAGGAGCTATGACTATGTAGATGCTCATTTTTTAATTCAAATTCCACTTTTACCATTAGTTTGTCCAAAATAAAACATGGGCGTAACGGTAAATCATCGCACATGCATTTTACATTGTTAAGATAATTAAAATCAGAGTAGGCGCCAAAAGGATAGTTTGTTTGTATTTTATTCCCTTTTCTGAAAGAAAGGGTTATAGCGTCATAAATCAGGCCACTAAAATGCAATAAGTTTGTTTGTTTGTTTGCATAATCCAATCAGATTGCAGCATTTCATAAATCAATGAAAACTTAACCAACATCATTAGAAAATGACTGATGACAGGTAATCGGGGTCCAGGATCACGAATCCGTGGTTAGTTTTTCGAAAAAACTTTTTGCTTCGTTTTTTGGGATAAAGGATCACTTTTTTGCGAAAAAATCTTTTTTTATAAGGGTTGACCGAAGGGTAATTGGGATCGAGGATCACGAATCCGAGGTTAGTTTCTCGAAATTCCAATCAGCTCATTAGCTAATTAAGTAATGAAAATTTTCTTCGTTGTCAAGTAAGGGTCGACCGAAGGGTAATCAGGGTCGAGGATCTCGAATCCGACGTTAGTGTTGCTTAATTAATTATTAATTTTTCATTAACTAGCCACGACTTATTAACATCCATTGCCAGAGTAGACCGAAGGATTTCTGCCGTCGGGAAATTCGAATTTGAGGGCGAATTTTGTTTTATTCACTGAGCGTGGGCCTGTTCCTTCCTCTTTACAAAGGAGATATTTTTCTTTACCTATTCTAAAATCTTTTGCAGAAGATGGTGAGCTGAACGCTATTCGTGGACGTCATTTGTACAAAGATAGTAGCTCAAGAACTTACACGAAAAGATCTAATGCATTGTACATGATGATGTTTCTAATTCAAGAAATTCGAGAAAGTGATATGAGCTTAGTATCATCTGTGCTTTGTAGCCTACATACATCATGCTCTTTCATGGGAATTTAGTAGAAGTGGTTCGCAAAGCGATATACCCGTCGGTAGAATTCTATCTTAGTAACTACAGACGCGTGGACTGTAGAAACAGTATCCTGAACACCTGCAGCGCTATGAAAGATGTTCGCTTCGAAGCAAATCATACAATAAGAATTTCTTATCTAGTTTCTTTGGGTAGTCGAATGAATAGAAGATCATGACTGCAGAAGCGACAATAAAAGAAAATCCAATCGTTCAGTTTGAAAGTCGCTCGAAGGCGAAAGGAATAACAGAGACAGCATGGCAACGGCTAGTCGTGAGTGGCCGACCGGAGGGAGGTCGAAGAACGACTAGACGTTTAAATGGTAGATTAATCCTAAAGTGTACGCTTAGAATAACCTTGCTAGGCTTCAGATAATTTTGAAAGGGATTTGACAAATGAATATTCCTCAATGAAAATATTCGACAAGGTATAATTTCGTTGACAGGAGAGAAAAGAATCGGTTTATCGCTGGAAGACACAGGCGAATGTTCACACTTTTCAAGCAGTCTACTGTATATCATCCGTCTATGAGTGACTTAGTAAAGCATTTATGAAAATTTCCATGCGCGTGATGTGAAAATAGAAAAACAGATGATAAAAGTCAATGTTTGGCCGTGAGTGGCCGACTGACTAGCCGTTGAGCGATGAATTTTTCAGTCGACATAGTTAGTGCTGGAGAATTATCCACTGACAAATGGCTAATCGGTCTGATTCCTAGAAAGACCTCTGTATCCTATTTATTCTAGTTCTAGTGTGTGACATAGTGCCATGATTCAGTTGAGCACCAGTAGCAATCGCAATG